AAAGCTTATTCACACCGCCCACCAGGACGGAGGTCATATTGTCATAGGTTCCAGCTTATTCACATCCCACACCAGGACGGAGGTCATATTGTCAGAGGGTCAAGCTTATTCACACTCACCACCAGGACGGAGGTCATATTGTCAGAGGGTCAAGCTTATTCACACCCGCCACCAGGACAGAGGTCATATTGTCATAGGTTAAAGCTTATTCACCCCGCCCACCAGGACGGAGGTCATATTGTCATAGGTTTAAGCTTATTCACACCGCCCACCAGGACGGAGGTCATATTGTCATAGGGTCCAGCTTATTCACACCCCACACCAGGACGGAGGTCATATTGTCAGTGAGTCAAGCTTATTCACACCCACCACCAGGACGAAGGTCATATTGTCAGAGGGTCAAGCTTATTCACACTTTCCACCAGGACGGAGATCATATTGTCAGAGGTTCAAGCTTATTCACACCCACCACCAGGACAGAGGTCATATTGTCATAGGTTCAAGTTAATACATCAGGACATAGGTCATCTGATTAATTTAATAAAATATTTTGAAATGAAAACATAGGTCATATTGTCGGAGGTTTCAGCCCTTGGTAGAACATGTGTTCGGCTCATACCTGAGCAAAAAGAAGAGGACTCGACAGGTGAGCTCAACATTCCAGCCTATGTCCAAGAACTTCTCTGTGACCTTTACCAGATCTATGACGTAGTTAAATGGCAGCACCAGTAGGCTCTCCTCCAGCTCACTAGACAACATAAAACCGTACATCTTAGTCAGGTCCTAGGTATGTAGTTAATTATCTAGTAGCTACTGAATCTTAGCATCCATATTCCCTAATATGACCTTCACATTCTCATGGTTAAATGTGACCTTGAAATTTCCTCATGGATTAAGTGATCTGGACATTTCCTCAAACATTATTATAGACAATTGGGCTATGATGTCTGTTTTTAAGATAGCCGCATTTGAGCTGACATAGACCATATAATGGGAGCGCCGCAGGCGCCCGAGCGTTTGTGTGCTGTAGGCGTACGAGTGTGAGCGCTGTAGGCACGAAGCCCCTTGAGGGGGGTCCGGGGGTCCTCTCCCAGAAGATTTGTTGTTTTTTGCTTTTTTATTTTACTTTTATTTTATCTACCTAAATGTTTACAAATAGAATAACCAATGTAATTTCAAGGTTATTGGTGTTTTCAATTTGTTGAAATTAATTGAACAATAAAATAAGTACATTTATATTTACACTTTATTTACAACACAAGTATTTTAATCTATCATAAAATACACAAGTCTTCACCATTGTGAACTCAATCTGCCAACTCCAAACTTATCTGTAACTATAAACTGTAATACTACACAGATCTACAAACTACAGCTAAAACCACTATTATTACAAACTTCCTAATTCTCACTCTATCTTTCTAACTCTCCTCTTTATCTCTAGACCTCTCAACTTTGTCTCCCTAACTCAACCTCCTTCCTCCGAACTCTCTTCTCCTCCTTTGACTCCTAAGCTGAACCACCTTACTATCTGTCCCTTAGCAAAATCCTGCTACGTTAAAAATTTTGATACATTAATATTGTTGATGCTGCTGAAATATTGCTAAAATTTGACCCCTTTCAGACTAGGTTGAACTGGCCATAAATCCTGCAAAATTTGACCCCGGCAGTCAGCATCAACCTGAGACACAAACACTGACATCACAGACTGGACTCCCCCCACCTAGACTTCAGACGGTCACACTAATCTATAAATCCCAACCTATATCATAAGCACAATTATCTACGTCTACTTAGCTATCATCTTCAAATAAAACTCTTACATTGACCATGAGCAAAGACTAAGAAAATGCATAGCACATCATATGTACACTTTGAATAATTAAATGGCTAATACTAATAAATATATAACAGTGACTGTGAAAAACAAATAAAATGTTCTAGGGTCGTCATGAAAAAATAGGGTCGGTCGGGGAACACAGGTATATTTTTATTTGGCCTAAACACCTCTAGCTGTTATGAACTTTCCCTTTTAGATGTCTCATATGCTTTCCTCTTGGATTTTCAAGCATTTGGATCTGGTCGTTCGACAATGCATTATCGTAGTGTTAACATAATTTTGTGTACAGTACACACGTTCAAGCTCACATATGTGTTGTTAGTGTCACTGATAGTACGCTTAATTAACTTTTAATCTCATGGTTCATCGGGACAAACATTGCAGTGATCGATATATGTTCTGCCCATTTGTTTCTGTGCATAGTGGCGGTGGGATGGGGCAGGGAGCAGTATGGTCAAGCTAAATTGTTGCAGAAAAAAAAAACGTCTGCGCCCTGATAGATAACTGGTGTGTAAAAGAGATGCCAATTTATCATAGACAATTGGTCTAGCTCAGAAAAATCTAGCATAGACCAAGAGAATTTAACATAAGACTAATTTCGCACACTACTTGACACTTTTTTACATATACTTACCTTGATCTAACCTTTTTGAGTACCTCCATCATATACTTGAGTGGAGTGTCGACAGAAAATGCCATCAGCATCGGATGAAGGGGTGGAGATGGTAGCTGTAACACAAAATATGTTATCAACACAGATTGAAAGGGAGGTAACTACTACAGAGTGAGTTACCAATGAGTGGTGGAGGGGAGGTAACTGTATTACAGAGTGAGTTACCAATGAGTGGTGAAGGGGAGGTAACTGTATTACAGAGTGGGTTACCAATGAGTGGTGGAGGGGAGGTAGCTGTATTACAGAGTTTGTTACCAATGAGTGGTGGAGGGGAGGTAACTGTATTAAAGAGTGAGTTACCAATGAGTGGTGGAAGGGAGGTAACTGTATTACAGAGTGAGTTACCAATGAGTGGTGGAGGGGAGGTAACTGTATTACAGAGTGGGTTACCAACGAGTGGTGGAGGGGAGGTAACTGTATTACAGAGTGGGTTACCAATAAGTGGTGGAGGGAGGTAACTGTATTACAGAGTGAGTAACAAATGAGTGGTGGAGGGGAGGTAACTGTATTACAGAGTGGGTTACCAACGAGTGGTGGAGGGGAGGTAACTGTATTACAGAGTGGGTTACCAATGAGTGGTGGAGGGAGGTAACTGTATTACAGAGTGAGTTACCAATGAGTGGTGGAGGGAAGGTAACTGTATAACAGAGTGAGTTACCAATGAGTGGTAGAGGGGAGGTAACTGTATTACAGAGAGTTACCAATGAGTGGTTGAGGGGAGGTAACTGTATTACAGAGAGGGTTACCAATGAGTGGTAGAGGGGAGGTAGCTGTTACTCAGTTCATGTTTGCGACATGCAGTAGAAGGGAGGTAACTGTTACTCAGATCATGTTTGCGACATGCAGTAGAGGGGAGGTTACTGTTACACAGAGACAATCACATATGACACTGCTGCTACAGCTACAAGAGTTCTGGTAAAGCACATACCTCACTTCGCTCCTGTAGAAGGAACACTAATATCTCAGTTATCCATACAAATCTACACGAGTACTTCAGTGCTCTTAAACATTACATCAATCTTTGATATCTGATAAGATATACAAAAGTTTACATGATTCTGCTAGATTATCATCGAGTCATTTACAACTTACCTGCTTGCCTGCCCGTTTACTCTCAACCAAGTGTTGCTGTAGTTTTTCAGTTTCTTCTTTATACAGCTCGAGGGCCTCCATTAGACGCTCTGCCTATCATATCAACATACCCAAAGTTATAGCTTATTTTATAGACTTCTGACCAGGTCAACACTCCCTGTAGAAAATCTAGGTGTGAGATATTTATTGTGTATATTCAATGCCAGACAGGTAAAGAATGTTTACAGTTTCAATCAATCTTTATTACTATTTAAGTGTAAATATGAAATCAAATGACATTCCCTTGGTAGTAATGGCTCTGACAAAAAGTGCATAAGTAGAAGGACATTACACAAAAGTATTAACCTGCTCCAGCTTTCATTCTTTATCTGAAGATTTTTTTTTATGTTTTAAGGAAGATTGTACCAACTAGCTGACAAAGTGACAAAGTTGTTTAAAACATACAGTTATATCAAGTCACGGCAACGAATAGCATTTTCAACTGTTAATGGCTTTATGAGCATTATTCTGGACAAACTTTTGATGTAAATCAGAATGAAACACTTTTGCGAAGAAGTTCTTAAAAGGGATAGTAACTCACATAAAAATTATTGTGTAAGAAAAAAGAACAGCTGGTGCACAGCTTCAGAATTTGGTGTTTATATTTGTAAAATTTCACAAAAATTCAGAAAAGAAATTCTAGGAAGACCTATGGAAACAAGATTTCATCAATTAATGGGTATAACTCCCATTGATTCAAAAAGTAAGCACAGACAGTCTAATGGATTGGTGACCGTGGAATCAGTAGAACCCAACCCCTAAACTCCCTTGCAGGGGGTTAAATGATAACTCACCCCCTTGACTGTTTCTACTGTTTTACGTCCAGCCATTGCCACCTCAGTGTTGGTCTCCCCAGGAACCTGTCACCATGGAAACAGAAATTGTAAATCATCATCATATCTACAACATTAATCATCAACATCAACAGATTGTACACTTTTAACAGTTTATACGTTTTTATTCAACAAACATTTTTTGTTGCATAAAGTATAAAAAAAAAATAGTATTCTTAGATATTAAAAACACAGAAATGAAAGGATATTGATAACATTTCACAGAAAAACAGAGTATATAATGTAGTCAGACCAGCTCTACCACACACAGACACAGAAATACAGAGTATATGATGTAGTCAGACCAGCTCTACTACACAGACACAGAAAAACAGAGTATATGATGTAGTCAGACCAGCTCTACTACACAGACACACAGAAAAACAGAGTATATGATGTAGTCAGACCAGCTCTACTACACACACACAGAAAAACAGAGTATCTAATGTAGTCAGACCAGCTCTACCTCACACAGACACAGAAAAACAGAGTATATGATGTAGTCAGACCAGCTCGACTACACACAGACAGAAAAACAGAGTATATAATGTAGTCAGACCAGCACTACTACACACAGACAGAAAAACAGAGTATATAATGTAGTCAGACCAGCACTACTACACACAGACAGAAAAACAGAGTAAATGATAACACAGAAAAACAGAGTATATGATGTAGTCCGACCAGCTCTACTACACAGACACAGAAATACAGAGTATATGATGTAGTCAGACCAGCTCGACTACACACAGACAGAAAAACAGAGTATATAATGTAGTAAGACGAGCTCTACTACACAGACACAGAAAACAGAGTATATAATGTTGTCATACCAGCTCTACTACACACAGACAGAAAAACAGAGTATATAATGTAGTCAGACCAGCACTACTACACACAGACAGAAAAACAGAGTATATAATGTAGTCAGACCAGCTCGACTACACACAGACAGAAAAACAGAGTATATAATGTAGTCAGACCAGCTCTAATACACACAGACAGAAAAACAGAGTAAATGATAACACAGAAAAACAGAGTATATGATGTAGACAGACCAGCTCTACTACACACACAGAAAAACAGAGAATATGATGTAGTAAGACCAGCTCTACTACACACAGACAGAAAAACAGAGTAAATGATATAGTCAGACAAACTCTACTACACACACACACACAGAAAAACAGAGTAGATAATGTAGTCAGACCAGCTCTACTACACACACAGAGAAAAACAGAGTATCTAATGTAGTCAGAGCAGCTCTACCTCACACAGACACAGAAAAACAGATTATATGATGTAGTCAGACCAGCTCTACTACACACTCTACCACACAGACACACAGAAAAACAGAGTATCTGATGTAGTCAGACCAGCTCTACTACACACTCTACCACACAGACACACAGAAAAACAGAGTATCTGATGTAGTCAGACCAGCTCTACTACACACACACACAGAAAAACAGAGAATATGATGTATTCAGACCAGCTCTACTACACACAGACAGAAAAACAGAGTATATAATGTAGTCAGACCAGCTTTACTACACACAGACAGAAAAACAGAGTATATAATGTAGTCAGACCAGCTATACTACACAGACACAGAAAACAGAGTATATAATGTAGTCAGACCAGCTCTACTACACAGACACAGAAAACAGAGTATATAATGTAGTCAGACCAGCTCTACTACACACAGACAGAAAAACAGAGTAAATGATATAGTCAGACAAGCTCTACTACACACACACACACAGAAAAACAGAGTATATGATGTAGTCAGACCAGCTCTACTACACACACACACAGAAAAACAGAGTATATGATGTAGTCAGACCAGCTCTACTACACACACACACAGAAAAACAGAGTATATGATGTAGTCAGACCAGCTCTACTACACACACACAGAAAAACAGAGTATATGATGTAGTCAGACCAGCTCTACTACACACACACAGAAAAACAGAGTATATGATGTAGTCAGACCAGCTCTACTACACACACACAGAAAAACAGAGTATATGATGTAGTCAGACCAGCTCTACTACACACACACAGAAAAACAGAGTATATGATGTAGTCAGACCAGCTCTACTACACACACACAGAAAAACAGAGTATATGATGTAGTCAGACCAGCTCTACTACACACACACAGAAAAACAGAGTATATGATGTAGTCAGACCAGCTCTACTACACACACACAGAAAAACAGAGTATATGATGTAGTCAGACCAGCTCTACTACACACACACAGAAAAACAGAGTATATGATGTAGTCAGACCAGCTCTACTACACACACACAGAAAAACAGAGTATATGATGTAGTCAGACCAGCTCTACTACACACACACAGAAAAACAGAGTATATGATGTAGTCAGACCAGCTCTACTACACACACACAGAAAAACAGAGTATATGATGTAGTCAGACCAGCTCTACTACACACACACAGAAAAACAGAGTATATGATGTAGTCAGACCAGCTCTACTACACACACACAGAAAAACAGAGTATATGATGTAGTCAGACCAGCTCTACTACACACACACAGAAAAACAGAGTATATGATGTAGTCAGACCAGCTCTACTACACACACACAGAAAAACAGAGTATATGATGTAGTCAGACCAGCTCTACTACACACACACAGAAAAACAGAGTATATGATGTAGTCAGACCAGCTCTACTACACACACACAGAAAAACAGAGTATATGATGTAGTCAGACCAGCTCTACTACACACACACAGAAAAACAGAGTATATGATGTAGTCAGACCAGCTCTACTACACACACACAGAAAAACAGAGTATATGATGTAGTCAGACCAGCTCTACTACACACACACAGAAAAACAGAGTATATGATGTAGTCAGACCAGCTCTACTACACACACACAGAAAAACAGAGTATATGATGTAGTCAGACCAGCTCTACTACACACACACAGAAAAACAGAGTATATGATGTAGTCAGACCAGCTCTACTACACACACACAGAAAAACAGAGTATATGATGTATTCAGACCAGCTCTACTACACAGACACACAGAAAAACAGAGTATATGCTGTAGTCATACCAGCTCTACTACACAAACACAGAAAAACAGAGTATATAATGTAGTCAGACCAGCTCTACTCCACAGACACAGAAAAACAGAGTATATTATGTAGTCAGACCAGCTCTACCACACAGACACAGAAAAACACAGTATATGATGTAGTCAGAACAGCTCTACTACACACACACACAGAAAAACACAGTATATGATGTAGTCAGACCAGCTCTCCTACACACACACACAGAAAAACACAGTATATGATGTAGTCAGAACAGCTCTACTACACACACACAGAAAACAGAGTATATGATGCATTCAGACCAGCTCTACTACGCAGACACACAGAAAAACAGAGTATATGATGTAGTCAGACCAGCTCTACCACACAGACACAGAAATTAGAGTATATGATGTAGTCATACCAGCTCTACTACACACACACAGAAAAACAGAGGATATGATGTAGTCATACCAGCTCTACTACACACACACAGCAAAACAGAGTATATGATGTAGTCAGACCAGCTCTACTAAACACACACAGAAAAACAGAGTATATGATGTAGTCACACCAGCTCTACTACACACACACAGAAAAACAGGGTATATGATGTAGTCAGACCAGCTCTACTACACAGACACAGAAAAACAGAGTATATGATGTAGTCATACCAGCTCTACTACACAGACACAACTGAGAGTTGTGTGCTGTCTGTAATACAAGTTTAAAGTAGAAATCTTGGTAGTCTGCACATATTGTATACCAAGTGGGTACCCTGCTGAGTGTAATGTAAACTGTACCTGATGTAAAAATATACTTCAATGAGATAACTGTTTCTTTTTCTGTAATAACTTGTACATTGTGGATTGTAACAGCCCATGATAGTAGTGTGAACCACATTTTTAAATGAAGGTGCAAAACTCCATAGAAGGGGAGGTAACACTAACTTACATACTTCAATGACATCCCCTCCACATAAGGGTTATGTGTACCAAGGGTCATTCAAATTGGTGTAGTACTTGAGAGGAGTGGTGTGAACAATGTTTTTACATTGGTATAATGGAATATTTGTCCCAAGGGACCAGGCCAGACCCCTGAGCCAATCCTTGTAGCAAGTGTGTCTTCATCTCTATGCCTACAAAATGTTTTCATGGTTATAGGGTTGAGGTTTCAAATGTCTCCACGTAATCACCAAGGTAGGGAGTACATAGGGGCAAGGCTATATCCCAGATTCAACCCCAGTAGCAAGAGTTATTCATCTTTTCATTATATTTGGGGATTTCTCTAAGGTTTCGGTGTTATGACCCTGAGAGTGGGGGTGGGGCTTGACCCCTGGCCACTCCTTGTAGCCTGAGTGTCTAGTCTCTGCATGCCTTAGTAATTATATATATGGTTATAGGGAGGGGATCTCAACTGTTTCTATGTTATTAGTCAGGGAAGTTCTTAAGCATGAGGTAAGACTCCTTGGCCAATCTTAATGGCATGAATGTATTCTTTTCTTCATGTCTAGGATTTATATATATATGGTTATAAGATGGAGGCAACAACTGTTTCCATATTGTACCCAAGGGATAAAGTCCCCTGTGGTGGGGCTGGACCTATCGCATAGTAACATGAGTATATTCATCTCTTCAAGCCTAGTATATTTAAGGATTGACCTTCATTTTGACTGCGTATACGGTAGTATGAACGCAGTTTGCAACGAACATATTCTATGGAGCGCGTTACCGGTCCATAAAGAATATGTTCGTTGCCAACTGCGTTCATACGACCGTATACGCAGTCAAACTGAAGATCAATTCTTATATTTACATATTTTCGTACTATGATGGTACACTCAGAATAAAGCTTATTCCAATACATTTGCTTTTATAATGGTACAAAGCCTCCGTAACGTGCGTAAATCCAAACAAATGAACAGCCTACAGCCTGCGAGGTGAGCGATGGATCTCCAACGTTACCATTATGACGTCACAATGTAAATTACGTCATCAATAGGAAACAATGGTCTCCAAGGAATCTCACTGCATATACGGTAATGTATACGCAGTCACGGTTTACACAGCGTCAATGGAAGCGAATGTAAATATATGGTAATGGTGGGGATTTCAACTGTTCTATGTTATGGTCTAGGGAGTAAGTACCAAGGGGTGAGGCAAGACCCCAGGGCAAATTGGCAAAATGTCCCGTAGTCAAGTGACAAATAACATATACAATTTTACCATAGATGAACAATCCAAATAGCTTACTCAGTCATAGCCTGACAAAGGGGCCAGTTGGTTTGGTGTTTAATGAGTATATTGTTAGTGTATAAAGTAGAACTTTTCCCACAGGGCCACACCTTCAGTAAATTCAATGTTGACTCCCCCTGGCCTAAAAATGCTCTAGATGGTTCAAATCCCATCATCTATTCAAAAGGATAAGGATTTTAAACATTAATATCTATTTCCAATATAAGGCATTGCCCCTCTACCCCCAAGGGGTATACACCTTGCATGTACCATAAGATGTAAAAGATTTACCTTTCTTTCCCCTATTGGTCATCGCTCCCTATGTAAAACATTGAGTCCCCTTAGCCTTATGATGCTCTAGATCATAATTGCTCTAAATTCCTTCATTTGAATGGAAGGACCCTTGGGGGGGGGGGACCAGGACTGTTATACTTACCACAGGCTCCCCGGTCTGTCCTACGCTCGCCTCGTACTCCTTCTCTCGCTCCTATAAACAACATTCCTCATTCAGTCACAAAACACAATATCATATAAAACTATCACAATAAATAATGTGAGATTAATGTTTACAGCTTATATCATTATTTTTCCAAAATTCATCTTTAAATCATTTCCATTTACGAATTATAACATCTTCGCTTGTAGCCTAAATTATGATGCCTGTGATATAAAGTGTGGGAATTGTTCTTTAAAGACATAACAATAAAGCCTTATCTATGTAAATTAGACAATCAAAATAAATTGTATCATATTCACACAAAGTATTGTTGCAAACCTAATTCCTAGTGTCTCAAACTGTTACATAATAACGATCTATAAGAAAACATGACACATAGACTAAAAAAAAACAGTTCTGTCTTTTTGTACTACAAATCATTTTCAGGGTGATTTTCAGGGTGATTTTCGGTAAATACTTCATATTTTAACCATTCTTAATTTAATAAAAAATAAGTAAAAAAATAGCTTGTGCTTTACTATTGTCTATTTTTATGTTCTTTTAAAAGATTTAATTAGTATATCATTGCTAATAACAGCCAACCAGTTACAAAATAGTTTGCCCAGTGTACAAGACGTGACATAGGCCGTTAATAATGGGAGGTTCATAGCTTTTCTGTCTTGTCCTCCTTAGTCCTTAACTGACAGGAAGTTACAGAGTAGACAACCATTGTAATCTCGTCTTCCCAAGATCTTAACTGACAGGAAGTTACAGAGTAGACAACCATTGTAATGTCGTCTTCCCAAGGTCTTAACTGACAAGAAGTTACAGAGTAGACAACCATTGTAATCTCCTCTTCCCAAGGTCTTAACAGACAGGAAGTTACAGAGTAGACAACCATTGTAATGTCGTCTGCCCAAGGTCTTAACTGACAAGAAGTTACAGAGTAGACAACCATTGTAATCTCCTCTTCCCAAGATCTTAACTGACAGGAAGTTACAGAGTACACAACCATTGTAATCTCGTCTTCCCAAGGTCTTAACTGACAGGAAGTTACAGATTAGACAACCATTGTAATCTCGTCTTCCCAAGGTCTTAACTGACAGGAAGTTACAGTGTAGACAACCATTGTAATCTCGTCTTCCCAAGGTCTCAACTGACAGGAAGTTACAGAGTAGACAACCATTGTAATCTCCTCTTTCCAAGAACTGACAGGAAGTTACAGAGTAGACAACCATTTTAATCTCGTCTTCCCAAGGTCTTAACTGACAGGAAGTTACAGTGTAGACAACCATTGTAATCTTGTCTTCCCAAGGTCTTAACTGACAGGAAGTTACAGAGCAGACAACCATTGTAATCTCGTCTTCCCAAGGACTTAACTGACAGGAAGTTACAGTGTAGACAACCATTGTAATCTCGTCTTCCCAAGGTCTTAACTGACAGGAAGTTACAGTGTAGACAACCATTGTAATCTCGTCTTCCCAAGGTCTTAATTGACCAAAAATTACTGAGCAGACCTACCATTTCTCTCTCGTCCTCCAGTACAAGGGGCTCTCGTGTCTTCTCCCACAGGCGCAACGACTTGTCGTGGGAACCTGTCACCAGAAAGTTACCACTTGGACTAGTGGTCATACACCACACCTCAGCATGGTGACCCTATGTAACAGAAAAGTTTATATCAAAATCTAATCTCTTAACGAAACCTAATCCGACCATTCTATATTAAACATAGCCTAGTACTGACTCTTCTATTTATGACAACACTGAAGATACACTGAAATAGACAGCTTAGCAATACTCTATGTTTTAGCCATTATAGACAGGACAAAAGTTTGGACCTATAATACATGACAGCCCTATCAACGAAAATAAACTGTTTCGGTAGAAACTATGCTCCCTCATCGGTCCCTGTGATGTCATAAGTAACACATCCATATTCATTAATGCTCCCCCTGGAACTCTAACCCCCAACAGGACATCACTATTCTCCCCCTAAGGAGCCTTGCATGCCACCTGTATTAGGTATAAACTAGCAGTCACAGACTACAGCACACACAACACCTAGTGTTAGGTATAAACTAGCAGTCACAGACTACAGCACACACAACACCTAGTGTTAGGTATAAACTAGCAGTCACAGACTAGTGGCACACACAACACCTAGTGTTAGGTATAAACTAGCAGTCACAGACCACAGCACACACAACACCTAGTGTTAGGTATAAACGAGCAGTCACAGACTACAGCACACACAACAGCTAGTGTTAGGTATAAACTAGCAGTCACAGACCACAGCACACACAACACCTAGTGTTAGGTATAAACTATCAGTCACAGACTACAGCACACACAACACCTAGCGTTAGGTATAAACTAGCAGTCACAGACTACAGCAGACACAACACCTAGTGTTAGGTATAAACTAGCAGTCACAGACTAGTGGCACGCACAACACCTAGTGTTAGGTATAAACTAGCAGTCACAGGCTAGTGGCACACACAACACCTAGTGTTAGGTATAAACTAGCAGTCACAGACTACAGCACACACAACACCTAGTGTTAGGAGAGTGTCGACTCACCATAACCTAAAAAACAAATAACTAGAGGCTAGACGACTACAAACCTGCAGTGTAATGATGTTCTCAAAGTTGTCTGCGTCCCACTCTTTGATGGTTCCATCCTTACCCCCGGTGAAGAACAGGTGTGTACGGGGTATAAACTTTATACACATGATGCTGAAACAGGAAATGGAGAACCACGTTACTTTGAAAAACATTGATATATATGAAACTTATTGTGTACACCATTTTATTATTAATATTGCCAAATTATAGTTATCAAACTATCAGAAGACTTATCATCATGCTGCTAATTCTATAAGGTATGTTTACATGTCTTACCTGTCATCGTGAGCAAAGATAGACTTGTGACAGTCCCCGAAGTCAAGGCCCCAGATCTTGGCATTTCTGTCGGCTGAGCCCGTCACCAGTAGTGTTGAGTCGGTGGAAATATCTAGACAAAGAACAGGCAGCTTGTGTCCATACAGGGACAGGAAAAACTGAAACAAAGAAAGGAGAAACTGTAATAATGTAACAGGGAAAACTCTAATACCAGATAGCCTGTCTTGATCTGACGTAAATTTAGGTACTTATTGTAAAATATTTTCATTTAATATAACATGTATTGCAAATATTTCCCAATTTTGGCTCTGTCTCTCAGCAACACATTTCCGACGTCTGATTCCCTTGTTCCAAAGAATCCTTCGTGTAAATTTGGTTCAAAAGTTGATCACTTTCCAGGAGGAAAAGGAAATTACTACATTCTACAAAGGATGCTTCATAGGAAATATGGTTTAGATCTGTATATGTGTAAATGGGGTTGGGAGGGGATCATAACTGTTCATGTTATGACCAAGGGACTAATTATCCAGGGTGGGGTCAGATCTCAGAGCTAATCTTGGTAGCATGATTGTGTTAATCTCTTAAAACCCTCAAAACATATTTAGGCATCAGGTGGGGATCTCAAAGTTAAGACCCTGGGTGTAGTCACCAACAACAGGACCAGACCCTTTTTATCTATCTGGTATATGATTATCCTTAATCTCTTCATGATCAGCAATTGTATATATGGTTTTGAGGTGAGGATCTTAACTTTTTCAATGTTATGATTCAGAGACCAAGACTTCCCAGGTAAGAATAGACTCAATGGCCAATCACTGTAGTGATTGAGTGCATTTGTCTCTTAATACCCATATATTATATATATACCTTTATGGTGGGGTCCTCAACTATTTTCAGCAATGATGAGTATTTGATTTCAGTATTTACATACAAAGATCATAGAAACTTTAGCCAATACAAACACCTTTTGGCCCTACCAGAGGCCCAGAGTTTTGTCCAAGTCTTATATTCGCACTAATAAACTGCCATTACATGATGATGACTTCAACCAATTTTGAGTTATTCACCCTTGTAAAGAAAACCTTGACTATATGGTACAAGTTTACTGACTTTAAGGGTGTCGGTAAAGAAAACCTTGGCTGTATCGAACAAGTTTACTGACCTTGAGGGTGTCTGTCAGTAAAGACAACCTTGGCTATATCGAACAAGTTAACTTACCTAGAGGGTGTCGGTAAAGAAATCCTTGACTATATGGTACAAATTAACTTACCTTGAGGGTGTCTGTCAGTAAAGAAAACCTTGGCTATATCGAACAGGTTAACTTACCTTGAGGGTGTCGGTAAAGAAATCCTTGGCTATATTGTACAAGTTAACTTACCTTGAGGGTGTCGGTAAAGAAATCCTTGACTATATGGTACAAGTTAACTTACCTTGAGGGTGTCGGTAAAGAAAACTTTGGCTATATCGTACAAGTTTACTGACCTTGAGGGTGTCGGTAAAGAAAACCTTTGCTGTATTGTACAAGTTTATTTACCTAGAGGGTGTCGGTAAAGAAAACCCTGGCTATATCGTACAAGTTTACTGACCTTGAGGGTGTCTGTCAGTAAAGAAAACCTTGACTATATCGAACAAGTTAACTTACCTTGAGGGTGTCGGTAAAGAAATCCTTGGCTATATTGTACAAGTTTACTGACCTTGAGGGTGTCGGTAAAGAAAACCTGGGCTATATGGTACAAGTTAACTTACCTTGAGGGTGTCGGTAAAGAAAACCTTGGCTATATTGTACAAGTTTACTTACCTTGAGGGTGTCGGTAAAGAAAACCTTGACCGTATTGTCCAACAAGGATACTGCAATCAGTCTGTTGTCTGGGCTGAAAAGGTTCAAAGTCACTAAGTCATTACTGTCAACCAATGCTTGGATACAGATTTTTATGGATTAATTCATTATTTAAATTACATGTATCATCATAACAGAATAAATCCCAATACAGCAAAGACAGTTTTCAAATCTTCCAAGGGTGTAGAGAAGATATGTATTTTGTGAACAGAACATGTGCTTTTCAAAGATAAATACATTGTAAAGTTTTGAGTTAATGAAAAAATTCTTTGTTGGAAGACACAAACATTATTAATGTGTTTGTTAACATAATGAAATCAACTTACATTTTTTAGCTAATTTAACTTACATAGGGACAAATCCTAACAAAAGAGGTAGGGACTTGTGTAATAATGTTATATACCTGCACTGGACTGCCAGGATATCCTCATCCATACGTAACGTACGTGAGTGTTCCAGACTCAATCGCTTGCTGTAACACAAAACATATCTAAAGTAACAACCCAGTTTATACAGTCGAGCCACCTTATATCTAGCCAACCCTAATCTCATTGCCTAAGTATCCAGGCATCCCTAATCTCATTCTCCAAATATCCAGACACTCCTAATCTGGTTTCTAGCCTCTTTAACCAAGCCATCCCTAATCTCATTATCCCACTATCCAGCCATCCCTTATCTCATTGTCCCACTATCCAGCCATCCCTACTCTAATTGTCCCACTATCCAGCCATCCCTTATCTCATTGTCCAACTATCCAGCCATCTCTGATCCCATTGTCCCACTTTCCAGCCATCCCTTATCTCATTGTCCCACTATCCAGCCATCCCTTATCGCATTGTCCCACTATCCAGCCATCCTTTATCTCATTGTACCACTATCCAGCCATCCCTTATCTCATTGTACCACTATCCAGCCATCCCTTATCTCATTGTCCCACTATCCAGCCATTCCTTATCTCATTGTCCCACTATCCAGCCATCCCTTATCTCATTGTACCACTATCCAGCCATCCCTTATCCCATTGTCCCACTATCCAGCCATCCCTACTCTAATTGTCCCACTATCACGCCATCCCTTATCTCATTGTCCCACTATCCAGCCATCCCTAATCTCATTGTACCACTATCAAGCCATCCCTTATCCCATTGTCCCACTATCCAGCCATCCCTACTCTAATTGTCCCACTATCCAGCCATCCCTTATCCCATTGTCCCACTATCCAGTCATCCCTTATCTCATTTTCCCACTATCCAGCCATCCCTCCTCTCATTGTCCCACTTTCCATCCATCCCTAATCTCATTGTCCCAATATCCAGCCATCCCTAATCTCATTGTCCCACTTTCCAGCCATCCCTTATCTCAATGTACCAATATCCAGCCATCCCTTATCCCATTGTCCCACTATCCAGCCATCTCCACTCTCATTGTCCCACTTTCCAGCCATCCCTAATCTCATTGTCCCAATATCCAGCCATCCCTAATCTCATTGTCCCACTTTCCATCCATCCCTAATCTCATTGTCCCACTTTCCAGCCATCCCTAATCTCATTGTCCCACTTTCCAGCCATCCCTTATCTCAATGTACCACTATCCAGCCATCCCTTATCCCATTGTCCCACTATCCAGCCATCTCCACTCTCATTGTCCCACTATCCAGCCATCCCTTATCTGGTATTTCATTAATCGAGCAGCCTATTACCTTGCATCCAACCTCGTTAATCAAACAGCCATGTATCTTTTATCTAGACTCTTTAATCCAGCCACCACTTATATCACTGTCCCACTCTCCAGTCATCCCTGATCTCATTGTCCTAATATCAGGCCATCCCTAATCTGGAATCATTAATCCAGTCACCACAAACAGGAATTGTACAACAGATTAGCCTCTTTAAATAAAATTGCCCCAGTACTCTGCCCATCGCTGCTGTACAGCCTCACATTTGCAAAGTTGTGCACATGTGTGTATGAGGTTGTTTGTACCAGTAAGGTTGACATGCTTGTAATTGAGGCCTAATGGATGATTCAAGGAGCTTAACTGATCAACATAGAAGAAGATATTTGGGGAATTTAAAATTGTTTTGTTCTCAGCAAGCAGACTTATCCTATATCATTGAAAATACAAACAGCAAAGTGATTAGGCAAAAGTAACTTATTACAGGTAATGTGTGTCATTGAGGTACAGTATCATCCTGGGCTTGATTTATACATGTGAGTAAATCACTTCGTCATTATGAGATTGTGTTGGACTTGAGGTCACCACTCACTTTGAGGCTGAGTCTTCCTTGTCACTAACAAGCTCAAAATTCCAGAACTTGACTTGTTGATCAGCACTTCCCGACACAATACCTCTCTGTGAAAATATGTCAAGATAAACAGGCTGACAATGACATGCTCAGGTGAAAAGTCATCCTGTTTGTGTAAAATGTCAATTTAATAGTTAACAGAGTCAAGTTGTTCAGGTGCAAAGAAAAAGCTGAACATCAAATCAAATTTCAAAACGAAAAAGTTGCTTTGTTGCTTGAAAACTTTTCTTTAAACAAGAGGCCCAGAGGGCCTGTATCGCTCACCTGAATATATGTTTAAAATAATTGGTTTGAAGTAAAGATATAGCACTCCATGGTAGGGGCTGTAAGTACATATGAAATTTCAGAAAGATCCATCAAGTACTTGAGATATAGCAAGAACAAACTTCAAACAGAGCCCCACCCCTATGCCCGAAGGGGGTCATACCCACCAATTATACAAAATTGAGTCCCCTTGACCCAAGGATTCTCCAGACTAAATTAGGATACAATCCCTTAATCCCTATGGTAGAAGAAAGATTTTGAAAGTTTTACCTCTATTTCCCCTATTGGGCCCCGCCTCTCTGCCTCAAGGGGGGTCAGACACACTGTTTATACAAAATTGGTCCCCCTTCACCCAAGGGTGCGTCATACCAAATTTTGACAAAATCCTGCCATTGAAGAATTTGCTATATTTCCCCTATTAGGACCCGCACCTCAGGCCCCTGGGGGGCCAGATCCACAGTTTATACAAAATTGGTTCCCCTTCATCCAAGGATGCTTCAGACCAAATATGGAACAAATCCTTTCATTCCTACAGAAGAAGAAGGATTTTGAAGAATAATTTCCAGTTTTTCCTATTGGGCCCCGCCCCTCAGCCCCCAGGGGGGCCAGACCCACCATTTATACAAAATTTGTTCCCCTTCCCCAAATGATGCTTCTGACCACATTTGGTTAAAATCTGCTCAGTCGTTCATGACTAGTAGCATTTTAAAGGAAAAGTTGACGGACGGACGACGAATGCTGCGGTATGGCATAAGCTCACCATGGTCCTTTGGACAAGGTGAGCTAAAAACTACCTTTGTAAGTTGACATACCACTAAGATGTACAAAGGCACGGTCACATACCTTACCTTGAATCATACAAAATTACTGTCATGTACCTTACCTTGAGTCAAACAATATTACTGTCACATACCTTACCTTGAGTCATACATACCTTACCTTGAGTCATACAATATTATTGTCACAAACTTACCTTGAGTCATACAATATTACTGTCACGTACTTGCCTTGAGTCATACATACCTTACCTTGAGTCATACAATTTTATTGTCACAAACTTACCTTGAGTCATACAATATTACTGTCATGTACCTTACCTTGAGTCATACAATATTATTGTCACATACATACAATAGAGTCATACAATATTATTGTCACATACTTACCTTGAGTCATACAATATTGTTGTCACATACCTTACCTTGAGTCATACATACCTTACCTTGAGTCATACAATATTGTTGTCACATACCTTACCTTGAGTCATACATACCTTTCCTTGAGTCATACAATATTATTGTCACATACCTTACCTTGAGTCATACAATATTATTGTCACGTACCTTACCTTGAGTCATACAATAATATTGTCACATACCTTACCTTGAGTCATACATACCTTACCTTGAGTCTTACAATAATATTGTCACATACCTTACCTTGAGTCATACAATAATACTGTCACATACTTACCTTGAGTCATACATACCTTACCTTGAGTCATACAATATTATTGTCACGTACCTTGCCTTGAGTCATACAAAATTACTGTCACATACTTACCTTGAGTCATACAATATTATTGTCACGTACTTACCTCGAGTCATACAATATAATTGTCACATACTTACCTTGAGTCATACAATATTTTTGTCACGTACTTACCTTGAGTCATACAATATTACTGTCACATACCTTACCTTGAGGCATACAATATTATTGGCACGTACTTACCTTGAGTCATACAATATTATTTTCACGTGCTTACCTTGAGTCATATATACCTTACCTTGAATCATACAATATTATTGTCACGTACCTTGCCTTGAGTCATACAAAATTACTGTCACATACTTACCTTGAGTCATACAATATTACTGTCACATACCTTACCTTGAGTCATACATACCTTGCCTTGAGTCATACAATATTACTGTCACATACCTTACCTTGAGTCATACATTCCTTACCTTGAGCCATACAATATTACTGTCATGTACCTTACCTTGAGTCGTACACAATCACTGTCATGTACCTTACCTTGAGTCCTTACCTTGAGTCATACATACCTTACCTTGAGTCATGCAATATTACTGTCACATACCTTCCCTTGAGTCATACATTCCTTACCTTGAGCCATACAATATTACTGTCATGTACCTTACCTTGAGTCATTCATACCTTACCTTGAGTCATACATACCTTGCCTTGAGTCATACAATATTACTGTCACATACCTACCTTGAGTCATACATTCCTTACCTTGAGTCATACAATATTACTGTCACATACCTACCTTGAGTCATACATTCCTTACCTTGAGTCATACAGTATTACTGTCATGTACCTTACCTTGAGTCGTACACAATCACTGTCATGTACCTTACCTTGAGTCATACACAATCACTGTCATGTACCTTACCTTGAGTCATACACAATCACTGTCACGTACCTTATCTTGGGTCAAATATAATCATTGTCACATATCTTATCTAGGATCATTCATAATAATTATCACGTACCTTGGTCATACATAATCATTGTCACATACCTTATCTGGGGTCATACACAATCACTGTCTCGTACCTTATCTGCGGTCATACATAATCACGGTCACATATCTTATCTAGGGTATTTCATAATAATTGTCAAGTACCTTGGTCATACACAAACACGGTCACATACCTTATCTGGGGTCATACATAAAGACCACACCTCTTTACTATGGGCGTCTATACTCTCCAACAGAGCTCCACTGGCGATGTCAAAGATCTGTAGCTTACCACTCTAAAACACAGACAGACAGTAAAATATCTGTAGTCTACAATTGTAACACAAAGACCTGTAGCTTACCACTCTAAAACACAGACAGTAAAATATCTGTAGTCTACCATTGTAACAAGAAGATCTGTAGCTTACCACTGTAAAACACAGACAGACAGTAAAATATCTGTAGTCTACCATTGTAACACAAAGACCTGTAGCTTACCGCTCTAAAACACAGACAGACAGTAAAATATCTGTAGTCTACCATTGTAACACAAAGACCTGTAGCTTAGAACTTACTATGGTAACATAGAACAGAGAATAGAACAAGAGAAATGGTGCAGTAAAACATTATAAATTCACCCTTAGTCTTCATAAAGACAGACTTCGTAAAAATTAAACTATAGAATACATATATTTTCAAAAAGCATCATCCGCCATAGAGCATAGCGTTCTTTATGAAATTCTAGTAAATTTATGAAAATTGTGGAAAGCCCATTCTTCAAATGCATATTAAAAAAACATTTGTTTTTAACAATACATGTATCCCTACAGAGAAGACTCTGGAGTGGGCTACTGTAACTACAAACAGGTATGCACTGAGTATGTATCACAAGTATACTATGTATAGTGGTATAAACAAGTATACACTGAGTATGTATCACAAGTATACTATGTATAGTGGTATAAACAGGTAAACACTGAGTATGTGTCACAAGTATACTATGTTTAGTGGTATAAACAGGTATGCTTGTTGTTGTATTTTTATTTTTGCAATCATAACCAGTTTGTGTGCCTGCCGGGGAGCACCCCCTTTAAGTCACGTACATTTCTTAATCCTGGTTTGCTTTTTGATAATCTAACATAGTTTTAGGGTAGGTGACTTAGGGCGTGCTTAGCTAGTCAGAGTATAACTGTGTAAGTGCCTGTTGGGGATCGCCCTGTAAACCATGTTCTTACTTATACTTTGAACACTCAGGCACTGGGGTCGCTCGATGCCTGTTTGCAGGGCCGCCTGTTCGCTACTCGCTCCGCAGCTTGGGATCGCTCAAGCCCTGGGGATCACCCCACAACTTATTCTAGTCACCAGCTTGAGATCGCTCAAGCCGGGGATCGCCCCACTCTTCTTTTAAGTTAAGTGTGTTGTTTTTAATTTCCTTTGCTGTAAATAGATATGGTTGTAACCAACTATGTTGTTGTTAGTTTAAGTAACAGAGAGCAGCCCCTAAGAATGCCAAAAGATAACTAATATAACCTGAACAAGTTACTTTAAATTTAGACTAAATAAATTTTTGATCTTTAATTCTTTGTTTTGTTGTGTATAAACTGAGTATGTGTCACAAGTATACTATGTATAGTGGTATAAACAGGTATATACTGAGTACCTGTCACAAGTATATACTATGTATAGTGGTATAAACAGGTATACACTGATTATGTGTCACAAGTATACTTTTATACACAACAAAAACGATGAAACAACAGTTTACCGGTTTATTACCATTTGAGATAGTTAAATGAGGCAGATAGCAAGATAAAAAGAAAATACAAACTTATACTTTGGCGTATCAGGGGCTACTCACTCAACACTATAAGCAAACTATATACAATACTACAAAACAAATGTGTACTGACGAGGTAGCCTCCTAAGTAAAGAAAGAGGCCACAAGGAAAAAATATATTCTCAGCAATATATTTAAAGTAGGCCAGACAACTCTTGAGCGATTCAAGACAGGTCTAGACAGGCCAAATGTAAATATCTAGTGAACATTCTTGAGCGATTCAAGACAGTATACATGAAGATATCTAGAGCAAACCCTTGAGTGATTCAAGAGATGCATATAAAACACTCATAAGTAGTAAAGAAAACTTTTAAGCGATTTAAAAGCAGAGAGCTCTTGCCTTGAGCGATTCAAGAGAGGCAAACTGACCACCAGACTTAAGCGATTTAAGAGCTGGCAAGACGAAACTCCTGAGCGATTCAAGAGATTAGTAGTATTAAGAATAGACCGAAAATTTTTGATTAAAGCAAAAGCAGTAAAATAATCAACAGATAAGTAAATAATATTACAGAAAAGTATTGGGGGAAAATTCCCCAGGAATTAAAACCCAAATGGAACGAAACGAGGAATTGGAAATTACTAGTGAGTGAGAGCCCCCAATACTTAAACTAGGTAATAATAACTAAAATTGAAGATTTGAGGTATAAAGAACAAGTAACCAAGCACAAAGTAAAACATGAATAGTTTTCAGTAGGACAAGGTCATATTTTTTTTGTGCATTGAAATAACGGTAGGATCAGTACGAATATAACGTATATAGCAGTTGGAGGACCATCTACCCAAGGTTTGAATGACATGATCCTCGACGCCAGCAGCAGCTGCGGAGGTGGCAGCACCAACCCGGAAAGAATGACCATTAAAAGATCGATGATCCACACCTATACGAGTCAGTGTTTCTTTTAACAAAGAGATAAAGGTATGGCGCATTAAAGATTTGACGTTAAGGTCAACCACATTGTCTACAAAAAGGGGCGGCGAAGGGGTAGCCCTTGAGTAACATGAGTGGTCAAATACTCACACATAGTAACCACAGGAGTTAAAACAGTGTTCTCAAATATCTTGATGACAACTCCTTTTCCAAAAGGGTCAGTTTTAGAGGAACGCAAACACAGGTGAAACTGAGACTTGTCTGGGAACACAGATATATCTCCAATGCGAATGAAGCTGTTGTCACTAAGGGTAAGATAGGTGAATTCACCACACCTCATAAATCCATAAAAAGCTGTCTTAAATACACACTGCAGTATAAGGTCAGTGAAGGGCTTGAACAGTCCCAAATGACCTTTTTAAGCACAACACATTTTTAATAAAATGTCACAAGTGATAGGAAAACGTTGGTGGGTATGCACAACAGTGGATTTCTAAATAGCGCGCAAGATATACGACAATCTTAAAGCACCGGCTAAAGGGTCACCTAAATTATAACCAACATAGTGAAACTGCACTCCTGACAGGTATAGTTTAATAGTGTCAAATTTAAGTCTCAAAGCATGTTGACAGTATGTAACAAAACGAATGAATATGTCCTCCGAGATGATAGGCAGCGAGCCTACGGGGTAGGTGATTCCCTGCATGAGAATAAATGCCAGGAAACAATTCAGCCCCGAGCGGTAAGTAGCCAAAGTCCTCTTACTCAAGGCCTTGTCCCACAAATTGTCGACTTCACTGCTCAACTCATCATTAAAGATGACGTTGGAAGACACAGAATGGGAAAGATGTCGGCTTGGGGTGCCAGCTGCCTGAAACGTTGCATCGTATATTCCACCAACACCATCCTGAGTAGCATCAGTAAATAGGTGTAAGTCTGCAGCAGTAGTGATACGGTCATTTAAGAAAAAAGAAACACCATTCCAATTTTTGAGAAACAACGACCACATAGCGAGATCAACTCTACACTCCTCAGTAAGTTTAATATGGTGGTGTAAAACGCGCACCTGGGTTGATAATGCTATCAAATGGGAGACGAATGATCGGCCCGGCTTCACACAACGACTCGCAAAATTCATGTGACCTAATAAACTCAAAAGTTCTCTTTTAGTACACGACTTCCTTTGTTTGAACGAGTCCAAGATTATAGAAATCCGCTCTATTTTTTCCAGTGGTAAACGAGCTTGATGTTTATGGGAATCTAGAAACACTCCGAGGTACTCCAACGTAGTACAAGGTCCTACTGTTTTGTGAGCTCCTAAGGGAACGTTGAGATTACTAACAACAGGCCCATGGGCCTTAACAGTCACCTGATATATTTATACAGAGAGGTGATTTTGTTTTTAACATGAACAGAAATATTATTCAAAGTGACAAAAAACAATAAAACCACCTGATTCAATATCTAGCATACAGATTTAGGACGGAAAAGTATTTGAAACTACCCCTGCGAGAGGGTATTCATGAAATCATGAATGGTCATGAACAATTCCTGAACATTCATGAATACAGACAGTTTGAAATTCATGAATACTTATTCATGAATATTCATCAACCTGCTTTCATGCATTCTTCATGAACTTTTATGAATAATTAATAAATTCATAAAAATGCATGAATCTGCATGAAGTTTGTGATTATGAATTATTCATGGACTTTTATGCACAGCAAAAATTCATTAAAATTCATCAGAATTCATGAAAGGCATATCCTTGAGAAATCATGAACTTTGATGAATTTAAATGAATAATGCAAATTCATTAAAATTCATCAAAATTTCTTAAAGATTGACTGAGCAGAAATCATGAACTTTGATGAATATTTCAAATACACAAAATTCACTATTATTCATGAAATTATGAATGATGAGAAAACTCAGTATCCTCAGAAACCATTTTTTTTCTTGTGGTTATTTCAACTCCATGTCCATTTTGCATGAATGTATATAATAATGTAAATATATATAATATATAAATATAATTGCCAATTTTGCAGGAAGTATACATAAATTATATTATGGAGTTCCATCTGTATTGATTTTATTGACTTTGGGAAGCACTGTAATTACTGGGAGCAGCGGTGGCTCAGTCAGTTGTTAAGGTCACAGACTACAAATCACATGCTTCTCACCTCCTTATATATATATATATATATATACCCATTGAAAATAACACTGGAATTTCAGTGAGATTCCACTGGAATGAAATATTTCAGTGGAATACCACTGGAATTCCAGAGAAGAAAACAAAAATCCTGTGGAATTCCAGTGAAGCAAAAAAATACAAGTAGAATTCCACTGGAAAAAAATCACTGGAATTATATTTCTACTGGAATATTAATTCCAATGGAACTATAACTCCTCTGACAATCCATGCAGAGGTGATGAGATCTGAAATACATTTTGCATGAAGTGGTATTAACTAGAAAAAATGGAACAATACATCAGTTTAACAATTTTTTAATAGATATATTACCCTTTACAAAGACAATTGTAGGCTAGCTATTAACGTACATGAGTTTATACAAAATATG